CCAGGGAAAAAAGCATGTTATTCATTGTTTGTGATAAATCCAACTAACTACTTACCTTCCTATCTGAAGTCTTTTAAAAAGATAAAGCTTTCATTCTTGTGTTAATACAAATGTGGATTAAAATTAGGACACTTAGCCCTTTAAGTCTGCTCTCCCATTCAATAGGATCTTGACTGATCTGATTTTAACCTGAACTCTAATTCCTGCACATTCTTGAACCTTTGAGATGGTAGGAACTGCAGATGCTGGAAAATCTGAGATAACAAGGTGTAGAGCTGGATGAATACAGCAGGCCAAGCAGCATCATAGGAGCAGGAAGGCTGACGTTTCAGGCCTAAACCCTTCATCTGATGAATGGTCTAGGCCTGAAACATCAGCCTGCCTGCTGTGTTCATCCAGCTCTACACCTTGTTACCTTGAATCTTTCTTCCCCCTCTACGGTCAAGAATCGACATGCCTTTACCGTTTAAAATATTCTGCATTTACTGCCTTTTGAGGAAAGGCATTCCAAAGGCTCTTAGGTCTAAATGTTTCCTCCTCAGTTTTAAATCAATGCTTTGCTAAGTCAGACCATCTGGAAGCAACCTTTCAATATCCACTTGAAGTTGAAGTCACCATGACTCTTCTAAACTTCATGTGGGATACTTGCCAAGCTTGTCTAACCTTTCCTCAAAGGGCAGTCTGTTCATTCCTGGTTCATTTACTTGGACAAATGTTACACTTGGAAGTTCCTGGCTATTGTTAAAAACTTGGTTTTCAACTTCTGCCTGTCTTGGTGGGAACTCAACATGTTTAAGGATGCTTGTTGTGCATTGGTAGAGTCTTACCTCTGAATTAGGAGGCCCTGATTAAAGTCCCAGAGGTGTGCCATACATCTCTGAACAAGTTGATTAGCAAGTGTACAATTTTCAAGAGTTTCTAGCATGGTTCTGTATGAAGTATGGCAACAAACAACTTTATTTTTGCTCTTGATGCTTAAATTATTGAAGATGTTGTAATTGATTATTTTTAGTGTAGTTAACAAATGCTTTGGTCAGCTAAAAATAGCAGACTTGAATGTTTTGATTTGCTTCCTCAGTCTTAAAGTCTTACCTGAAACATCTGATAATGCATCTGATGGGAGGTTCATATGAATAATTGCTTCTAGAGTTGTAATTTTCTGAAATCAAAGCTGTGTTCAAGAGCTCCATGCAGCTGAGTTGTCATCAGATGTGAGGCCACCTTTTGTAACAATTATGAAGGTGCATAATTACTTTCTTACCAATTACCTTTGTATAGGAAGTTTAGGTGGATAAGCCTCTTCATGGTATAGACCATTTGGTCTGGCAGGTCTGTTTGTGCTTAATGGGTAGGAGGAGGCTTACTTTAGCCCTGTCAAGACGTCTCTGGTTTCCTTTCTCCCTTCTGTTTACTCAGGTTTCCCTTAAGTGTATTTTTGCAGGTCATGTCAGCTCCTCATTGCAGTGGTGAGATCCATGTTCTAATTGGACTCCAGACAAATACCTTTCTCCATAATTCTCTTTCTCTAATTCCAAATCTGTCATCTGTCTAAATACTAGCCTGCTTGTGCTCTATTAATTCATATATTCCTGATGGCTATAAGCTCTGTCCTGGCATCATTCCAGTAAATCTTTTACATCTTCAATCCTTTTTATATCCACTTAGTAATATGGAGACCAAACTCTTCTCTCTTCCTGTTGGTAGTATAATCAAAGTTCAGTACAAGTTGCATAAACTCTCTCCCTTTCAATTTAATCATCTGGAAATAACTGTTTCTTGTTTATTACATAGTCTTCCATGTTTATTTTTATTTGTTTTCTTTTGCAGATCAACAAAGCTGATGCCAGTTGTGATAATTGGTTGTGGACATTTTTCACATTTTGACAATGGGATAATAAACATCTATAAATGAATAATTTTAATCTGGAGTTTGCCTATTTTTCTTCTACATACTGTTTTGTTGAAAGAAAACTTTTCATGGAAAACATGTTTCAGTATGACTTGGTTTTCTTGAACCAAAACATTGGCCCTGGACTGCATGTGAAAGGAAGAGGGCTTTTCCTGTTGACAGTGAGCTGCTTTGAATACCTCCAGTTTAGCACCAAAGTACTCTAGAACTAAGATGCTTCCTGCTCTGAACCACTCAAAACAAATGGTAAATGCCACATTTGCAATCCAAATACCCAAGTTACTAAATTGATCCTGGGAGTCTGAGGCCACGCTGCCTGGCCCAGTTTCTCAGCTTGGGATCTACTGTTCTTGAGCTGGATAAGCTCAAATCTCACTTTGAAACAGTGCAGCAGTATTGATGGCACTAGCATGTCCAGCAGAGTTGAGGCAAAAGAAATTTGGGAGTACAGAGTCAGGAGACCATGCATGAGGGTTAAACTGGATGCACTGAATCAGGTTTACATGAGAATTCAGTGTATGGCTTTGTTTATTGCACCTGAAGTGCATTAGATGTTAATTGGATTTATCAGGACCAGTAAGGTTTAAACTTCAAGTTAATGTAAAATTAGTAAAATAAAGCAAAATTAACAGGCAAAATAAAGTTAAGGCATGAAAACATATTTCAAGTCAGGAAGTGGATTTAAAAGTAGGACCTCTAAAACAATCAAGCTTTAGTCTCCTGTACTTGTGAGCATTGAAGTTAGAATTCAGTGGTTGAACATCCTGCTGGAGAGCTGGTTGCAGGGATGTTGGGGCATCTGATTTAAGGTTACTCTAGGTACATTGTTTCTGTTTTCTATAGGTCTCATGTTAAAACTGTTACGAAAACATGTAACATTAGCAAACATTTTTAATGCACAGATGGATATAAATGGTTATTTAATTACCATTGCTAAAACATAGTACAAGATGAACAAGGTTGGAAACAGAATATCCAAGGCTATTTCCTATATGGGGGTATAGGTGAGAAGGAAGTGATGTGGCACTAAATGTGTTGGATATCCTCATTAAGAAAGGGTTCTTCTATTGTATCATAGAATCTTAATTGAAGGATCAGGATGTAGAATTTGATTGGATGCAACTAAGAAACAGGCAACCAACATTGGTGCTATAAATTACCAAATTCATTTTGGACATGGTATAAATCAAATTAGGATTTCACATTAAGCTTCAAAGCAGTTTGGTCTGTTTTGTAACTAGCCTTTCTGAAGAAAGGAAAATCATAAAGGTATGTACAAGTTGTCCTGGTGGATTGGAAGAATACAAAAAGTTGACAAATGATGGGCACTGACTCCTATTTATAGAAATACTAATTTCCTAAGAATAGGAATGTATTCCTGAGGTGTAAGCTCCCAAGAGAAAGGTAAATCAACATCTTCAATTGGAAAAATTAAAGACTGCATTAACTGAAAGGAGGTGGCTGAAAAGGATGCTAGAATGTGTTGAGCCTAAGGTTTGGGAGCAATTTAGAACCAACAAAAGTGACTAAAACTTATGAAAGCAAAAAAAATTAATGCAACTTAGCCAGAATCATTTTTAAAGCTATTATAGTTTGACACTTGTGCAAAGGAAAAATTGGGACAATTAACAGCCCATTTACAGGGCAAGGTAACCAAGGGACTTGTGAAACTGAGCAGCAAAAGTAAATTGGTATTGAGGTGTACTTGGAAAAAATAGCTGGATAGAAGGGTGATTGAAATCTGGACTAGATGAGCTTTAACCCCCGAATGTAGATGTTGCTGGCAATCTCAATCTTAGATTCTGGAATGGTTCTTGGAAGGACTAGAAAGTAGCCTCTAACTCCACTACTTCAAAAGGGAGGAAGAATTGAGAACTACAGAAGTAAAATGTTGGAATCTATTATAAGGAATAAACTTTAAAATGTAAAATAAGTTCTGTTACTGAATGAATGTATGAAAGTTGACCCATGAATGACTTTATTAGGTTAATTGGGAATATGATTGTCCATTATAAAAATCATTGTTAATATAGGGATTCACATTATAAACTGCAATAGTGTACAGATCAAGTACAATGTACACTTGTGAAATATCATTGGAGTTTGAACAATCAATGGATTGATAGATTTGATATCAATAAAAGACAAGTAGTATTACAACACCAAATGTTCCAAACCAGGAATTGATATTGGTTATTGCCAGCTGTGTTGCTTGCTTCTCTGGGAAAATAGTCTCTCTCTTCCCAGCAAGACCCCACAGATTATATCTGGAAGCTGTCATGTTGAGAATGTCAAGCCATAAAACTTGTTGATAGTACTTAATGGGAAAGGAGAGCCTTATTCTAAAATATTATCTATGCATGTTTCCCAAATTAAATTTATGGCAAGACTGGCATAATGGTAATCCTGTTAATTTAGTGATCTAGAGGTCCAGGCTAATATTGTGTTCGAGTCCCACTATAGCAACTAGTGGAATGTAAAATTCAATTAGTTGTTAAAATCTGGAATTGAAAGCTAGTGGTAGTGATGACCATTAAACAATCTTTCATTTTGTCAAAACCCATCTGGTTTTGCAAAAATAATCTCTAAAAGGAAATTTCCAGCCTTCCTGATGTGGCTTAGTTATATAAATCAGATCCACAGCAATTTCTGACATGGTGCTGAAAAATAGCCACTGATCAAGAACAATGGGATATGGTAATAATTGTAAGCATTTCCATGATGTCAATTTTTCATGAAATAATCAAGTGGAATAAAATCAGTACAAATTATACAATGATTTTTACCTTCAGAACAGAAGCCAATAACTTTTTTGAATTGCCATTTGTCTTGCCTCTCTCCCAAAAGTCCCAAACAGATTTGGGTGCGATACTGCCTTGGAAATGTCTCCCTTAGTTGGGCAACCTCATCTGTTCTGCCCTTAGTAACTGAAGAGTCCTCGCTAATCTGTTTCTAATCAATCAGCAATGAGTCAAGTAGTTTTTGGTGTTGAAGTGATGTTCATTTTATACAATGTAATGTACAATCTTGGGTTAGAAATATGAGGCTTAAAGCAAATAATTAGATAATTATAGAAAATATAAACTTTAAGTCAGGTTTTTGTAGTATTTTAATATAATTTTTTTGCTTCAATATGGTTTTATTTAAAAGCATTTCTCAGGATGTTAGCAATATAAATGACAGTGAACAGCTCAGTGATACATTGTGAATAATCAATAGCCAATGCCCACTCTAAAGTGGACATCTGGTTTCAAAAAGCTATTTGTACAGAAAGAATACTACAGGATCGGAATGATGATTGTGGCTTCAAGCTCTGTGTTCTGGGCTGTAGCTGTTACCAGTTCATGGAGTGTCCTGAAAATACAAATTATCTCGATTGAAATACAGCTCACCTCATGTTGGATATTGCAGCTACTGCAAAGAGCATCACAGCTGTGGATTAAACAGCTACAATGAAATGGATAATAGAAGGGTGATCCAACTGGGAGCACTTGCTACGTTTTTACCTCTGCATGTCCCAGTGTGTTTTACAGTTAGTGAAACACAGTTTAGGAAATGCAGTAGCTAATCTAAACACAGCTAGGTCCCAAAGCAGCAATTAAATGACATGAGTATTGGTTTAGGCATTTCTCTGTCCCTTTTCAGATAGAACCATGGGTTCTGAAAGGACAGACATCTTATCTGAAAGCTGGCACCCTGACCAGCATAGCACTTCCTCAATACTGTCCTGTAATGCCAGCCTAGCTAATAGCAGAAAATCTCTAAAATAGGATTTGAACCCACCATCTTGTGTCTCAAGAGAACCAACTGAGCCATGGCTCCCATGTAATTGTACCTTGGCAGAGCTGCCACTGGCAGTTGAGACTAGTATGAATAAGGCTAGAGTCTAGTTTCTTGAATGTTCAAAACTGAGGTACAAAACTAGCATCAGAACTAAGATGTCAATGACCGCTTTAGGACAAACCTGATGGATCTTTCAGTCAGGAGAAGGCCACAGGAATAGACAGCACCAAAGGCTAAGAGGCAAATGGATAAAAATCAGATCAAAAGCATTTAACCTGTTCATGCTGCAGCATGTCAGAGCTGGGAACGTACAATTTGACATAAACAGAAAATGCTGAAGAAACTCAACAGGCTGAGCAGTATCTGTGGAGAGGAAATACAAATAATGTTTCCTGCAACACAGAGGGTTAAATTTTATTTCTGTTTTGATATCAGATCTCCAGCATCCACTATATTTTGCTTTTGCATCTGTACTGATTGCACAAGTTAGCTATCCAGCTCCACACTGTGTTAGCTATCTAATGTTGTCTGGAGTGAAAAACTGCTGGGATTTTCTCAATGACTTGTAGATGTCAAGCACAAATGTAAGGCATTTGTTACCTGCTCAAGGGCTACATTATTTGATGTCAGGAACAGGGTTCAATCAAGCAGAGCAAATATTCTCCCAGCATCAATGAGGGAAGGTATTAGACAAAGGTAGGACAATAGCCCAAACTATCTGGCACCACCATCCTGCAATACTGTTAAAAGTGCTGAGTTAGAAAATTTTACTGACCAACAATGGTGGCTTGAAGTTCATGTGTGCATAGAGTAAGACAGCGATGTCCTTGTTATTGGCTTCCAGGGCTACAGACAGTGCATTACTGCCATCCTATGGGAGCACAGACAACAACAGATATGGTTACCACTTTGTCCATAGGCAATAAATACAAACCACTGAAAAATGCTGAATATGCAAAGCATGTTAATATGAAGTATGGGCAGAAGTAAACCATTCAGCTCCTCATGACCGCTCTGCCATTCAATAAGATCTTGGCTAATCTGTTTGTGTTCCAAATTCCACGTTCCCATTAATCCCTGATCACCTTTAATTTCTCTGAGCCCAACAAGAATCTATCTACCTCTAAAAAATATTCAACGACCCCCATCTCACTGCTTTATGAGATAGGATCTGTCCATATTCGTAACAGCCGAGTATGTCTGCCCCAAAGAATTGAGGTTGGACAGGATGTTGGTGAAGCCTCTTCTGGAGTACGGTGTGCAGTTCTGGTTGCCCTGTTGTAGGAAAAATATTATTAAATTGGAAATAGTGCAGAAAAGATTTACCAGGATGTTGTTTGGAATGGAGTGTTTCAGTATGAAAATTGGCTGGATGGGCTGGAACTTTTTTCCGTGGAGCGTAGGAGGTTGAGGGGTGATGTTATAGAGGTTTATAAAATCATAAGGGGCACAGATATGGTGAACAACAAAAATCTTTTCCTTAAGATGGGAGTTCAAAACTAGAGGACATATTTTTAAGGTGAAAGGGGAACATTTTATAAAGGACACAAACGGCAACTTTTTTTACAGAGTGGTTCATATGTGGAATGAACTGCCAAAGGAAGTGGTGGATGAAGGTACAGTTACAACATTTAAAAGACATCTGGATAAATAGGAAAGGTTTGGAGGGATATGGGACAAATGCAGGCAGGTGGGACTAGTTTAGTTTGGGAACGTGTTTGGCTTGGTCTAGTTGGACCGAAAGGTATATTTCCATGCTGTATGACTTTATAACTGGAAGCTGAAGAGAAGGTAATGAAGAGCAGGAGGTAAATGTGAACAGCCAGACATCTTTTTAAAAACTATCTCAACAAACAAGTAATACAGTGATTTGCATATGCAAAGGTGAAAGCTGATGTCATTGCTCAGTGACGGAAAGATCCAGTCTCAAAGATGGAACTGTGTGTTTAGAAAACGTCTTTTTTTTATTATATAACAGCTAATACACAAAGCAGACAAATGGAGGCTGGCCTCCCCTCATTCCTGGCACAGGCCTTCCATCATTACCACTCCTAGCACTGGCATTTGTCCCTGCTCTAGAAGGGGCCTCTATCACTGCCTTCACTCCCTGGGTTCAGCCTCGTCTCCCTTGCCCCCAGACTCTGCCTCCCTTTCCCCAGCTTCTGTCTTCCCTTTCCTCAGTCTCTGCCTCCTTTTCCTCGGCCTCTCATCAGTAGCTCATGCAATGATGTTGATAGTATTGCAAACGGCAGACAGTGACATAATTGGCGCACAGAGTCATAGAGGGTTACAGCACAGAAAAAGGCCTTTCGGTCTGTGCCAGTCAAAAACTGTATGTGTCATGCACACACAATGTGCAGTTGTTTCCTACACCATGTCCTGTCACATCCAGCTGATGTCATGGGCCTTCTCTGTGTGCAGACCATTTTGATGTCATGGATCATCATCCCAAACTAATAAGCCAGTCCCACCTGTTCCAGGTGTGTAATAACATCTCTAAACAGGTTGACTACAAAATATTTTGTCCGGGAATCATAATCTTAAAGGAAAGTTAAATGGAACTTTTGCTTTAAAAGAAATCCATTAACTCAGTGGCAGGCGTCAGCATTCCTGAGCCAACACACTAATTAAGAAGCATCTCATTACCTTTCTAGATGCTGATAGAACTGGTGTGTGTTTGTTTTTAACCCATTTTCCATATTTCTGCTGCACTTTCGAAATTAAAATGGAACTCGTGTTTAACAAATCTGTTTTGTGGATCTTTTGAAGTTGCACTCACACAGCATTAAGGTTTCACACAAAAGATTATTGCATAAGATTGGAGCTCATGTGAGTGAGGCTCATATATAGCTTATAAATATTCACAACGATTGGTAAATGCACTGAAAACAAATTCTAAATAAATGGGACATTTTCAGACTGGCAGGCTATAATCTGCAGACTACCAGGTGGATCAGTAAAGGCCTCAGGATACCGGCTTGTGTGGAGTTACTTCAATGGGAAGGTAAGTTGCAAGGGGATATGAAGGGCGGCACGGTGGCTCAGTGGTTAGCACTGCTACCTCACAGCACCAGGGACCTGGGTTTGATTCCACCCTCGGGTGACTGTCCGTGTGGAGTTTGCACGTTCTCCCTGTGTCTGTGTGGGTTTCCTCCGGGTGCTCCGGTTTCCTCCCACAGTCCAAAGATGTGCAGGTTAGGTGGATTGGCCATGCTGAATTGCCCATAGTGTTCAGGGATGTGTAGATTAGAGGGATAGGTCTGGGTGGGATGCTCTTTGTGTCGGTGTGGACTTGTTGGGCCGAAGGGCCTGTTTCCACACTGTAGGGATTCTATGATTCAGCTATTTACCTAGATGAGGGGCCCAAGTGCAAAGTATACAAGTGTTCTGACAATACAAAAGTGATTGTAATGAGGTCAGCTAGCTGGACCTCTTAAAATATGAGTTCCCTGATTGGAGATGCTAATCTGATCAAATCAGGGAGTCCCAGCTGACAGATATAAACAGAAGTGTCAGAGGTTCTGTTCACTCTGAGATCTGGCTCTGAGGGAGTGCATCAGTGTCTAGGATTTTCCACTTGTAAATAAAGGGTGACTTGGCGACAGGATACCGGCTTGTGTGGAGTTACATCAATGGGAAGGTAAGTTGCAAGGGGACATGAAGAGGCTGTGAATGGATATAAATATGTTAGTGGTCTAGGATATGGTAGAGGGAGTGTAATGTGGAGAAGTATGAAGTTACCCACTTCCGTAGGTAAAGTAGCAGAGCAGAATGTTATTTACATGGTGAGAGACAGGAAAATGCTGGTATTCAAAGGAATTATTCTGCATAGGAATTACCGACAGTAAGCATTTAGGTACACCAAGCAATTCTCACAGAAAATGGCATGTTGGCCTCTATTACAAAGGGTTTGGAGTTTGAGTTAAGTTTTACAAGTCAGTGGTGAGACTTCAGGTGGAGTACCATTTAGAATTTGGATCTTAGCTAAGGATGGATAAACCTGTCTTGGCGACAGTGCACAAGGTTCACAGACTTGGGAGATTTGTTCTATGAGAAGAAATTGTATAAACTAAACCAATATTCCATAGAAGAATGAAAGGCGATTTCATCGAAACATAAAATGATTAAGTAGCGTGACAGCACTTATGCTGGCAGTTTACCATTCCTTGCTGGGCATTCTACAACTCAAGGTTATGATGTCAGAATAAAAGTTGATCATTGTAGAGTATGAAAAGGAGAAATTTATTTATTCAAAGCATAGTGAATCTTTGGAATTCTTCTTCCCAAAGGGTTGTGGATTCTCAGTCATTGAGCATGTTCAAGATAGCAATCAGTGGATTTTGGGTTCAAAGGATTTGTAGACAGGTGGCACTGAGATAAAAGATCAAACATAATCTCATTGAGTGACAAAGCAGACTTAAAGGGCAATGAGGTCAACTTCTGCTCCTATACAAATGTATATGACTAAACATATAGACGTTATTCCTAGCTTTTGACTTTTATTTGTTTACCTTTGAATTAAAGATATCAATATTCAGTTCAGAGTCAGCCAAAGTGTCAGAGCCCTGAGTGCTATTTGCTGATGTTAGTATTCAAATAAAAATAAAGTACTGTGGATGCTGGAAATCTGAAATAAATACAGAAAGTGCTGGAGAAACACAAACAGAAGTTGCTAGAAAAGCTCAGCAGGTCTGGAAACATCTATGAAGAGAAATCAGAGTTAACGTTTCGGGTCCGGTGACCCTTCCTCAGAACTGATGGTGGCTAGGAAAGTGCCAGTTTGTGTGCAGAAGATAAGATGGGGGAGGGGGTAAGGAGTAAACGATAGGTGGAGATTGTGCCCAAAGAGAAAGAAGAACAGTTGGACAGACAAAGAAGTGGATAACGATCTGGCTAGAAGGGTGAATAGCTGTTAGTGGGTACTGTTAGTGACTAACAATAGGTAGTGTGTAATGGCAGACTATGTGATAACAAGGCCTGGTGTGTGGGGTAGGGGGCTAGGACCTGGGAGAGTTCAGGCCCTAAAATTATTGAACCCAATATTGAGTCCAGAGGGCCGCAGGGTCCCCAAGCAGAAAATGAGGAGTTGTTCTTCCAGGTTGCACTGAGCTTCGCTGGAACACAGCAACAAGCCGGAGACAGAGATGTTAGCCAGGGAACAGGGTGATGTGTTAAAGTGGCGGGCAACTGGAAGTTCAGGGTCTTTTTTGAGAGCAGAACGTAGATGGTCTGCGAAGCAGTCACTCAGCCTATGCTTTGTTTCCCCAGTGTACAAGAGACCACATTGTGAGCAGCAAATGCAGTAGACTAGATTGTATGAAGTGCAGGTCAAGTGCTGCTTCACCTGGAAAGTATGTTTGGGCCCTTGGATACTGAGGAGGTAGGAGGTAAATTGGCAAGTGTTACACCTACAACGATTGCAAGGGAAGGTGCCGTGGGGCTGTGGGGGGGGTAGGTGGGGTGTTGGGAGTGAAGATAGATTGGATCAGGGTGTCCCAGAGGGAACCATCCCTGTGGTAGGTGGAGAAACTCAACGGGTCTGGCAGGATGTGTGGGGAAAGAAAAACAGATTTACCATTGTGGGTCCAATATGACTCTTTTTTGGACGTGAAGAATCGTACAGGACTCAAAATGTTAATTCTGTTTCTTTCTCCACACATCCTGCCAGACCTGCTGAATTTCTCCAGCACTTTCTGTTTTTATTGCTCATATTACCAGATTGTTTTGGTAATGAAAAATATTTGAGACAGATTCTCTGGGTGTTTGTGACTGAAATGTTGTGCAATTCCACCTGTGGAATTATTGCAATTTGTTCAACAACTTGTACTGTACATATTTTACATTGCAAGTGTTGATGATGGGCAACTCCAAATACAAGTTACCAGCAGCTACACTACCACCAAAGCCTTTTGGTGTCCCCACTACACTGTGTCAACCATCATTCAGCAGAGAATCAGTCAGGTCACCAGTGGGTGAAGTTTCCTAAAATATACGAGATAGGTTACAGCTAAAATTCCTCTATCATGCAATCTTCCACAAGTCAGTGCAATTGAGCAACATATAGGATTATAATTGTGTTTTGTTTCCTTTAAAATGCTTCCCTTGATGAATTTAAGGATGGTAACCTGGTGCAATTTTGTGATTGCAGTTGTAAGTGGGTTAATCATCAATTATTATTTTAAATCACTGAAGATGACTGGAAAAAAATACTAAACCATTTGCTAATCTTATTGGTGTGCACTTTTCTGATTAATGTAAATCTTTTTGATTTAAAAACATTTTCAAGTCCGCCTTCAAGTACCTGTGCATTGAGACAAGAAGTGTAATTTGCAGAGTCTCCCTGAACCACTGCAATCAGTGGACAATTTAAATTGGGGCCATTATTAGTTTTGTAAATGGAATCACAAGTCTTTCTGGGCTTAACTCATGTTAAATTCACTGATGTTTGCAACTTATTTCACTAGTAGGCAAGTTGGGCTACATAGGGATCCTCTTGGCTCTCATTTAGCTTCGCTTAATACACATTTATGAGCAGATGTCTTGGGATTCAATTCATTGTGATTTTACTGTAGTTCAGATCTCAGCACTGATCCCCACGGCACTCCCAACCCAAAAATGACCCTATTCATGTCTACTTGCTGTCTCCTGCTAGCCAACCAATGCTGTACCTATGCTATGTTACGTTACATCGTGAACTGTAATTTTGTATAGCAACCTTTGATGTGCCACATTATTAAGTGCCTTCTGCAAATCCACAGTTTTCCACATTTCTTGTTACTTCCTCAAAGCATTTCTACTTCACAAAACCATGCTGAGTCCCACAGGATTGCACCGTGATTAATGTTTCGAGGGCCCAATGGCTCACAGTGGATGCGTCCCCTCTTCCACCATTGGGATCATTGTACTAAGGACAGGGATGGGAAGATAGATGGCAGACAAGCCACTTGCTGTATTTAACCTGTCCCTTCCACCCAGCGCTCACCCACTGCCTTCAATCCTGCAGGTGGTGTAGTGTTAATTCTGTTTCCACATCACTGAATTCCCTCTTCCTGTTGAATTTCTCATTCCAATCCCCAGCTGGTGAGTTGCCTGTCAGCAGACAGGAAGATCATTGAAAGAACAGTATGCAGATCAGAGTGTCCCATTGTTGCTAAATCAAAGGGTGGCCTTTTTCTGCACATTTTTTCAGCTAATCTTTTTTTTGTTATTGCTTCAGGAGCACAAGGCTCAGTGGCGACTCTGTATAAAACTTACATTATCACTCAATGAGATGTCACAATCCGGCTGGTCCAGAAGCACCTTCACAATCTCTGCCCGACCATGCTCACAGGCACACATCAGTGCAGTGGAGCCCTCGTTGTCCTGACTGTTAACATCAGCTCCACAGTCCAGCAAGGCCTTCACCATCTCAATACGTCCGTGACTGACTGCCAGCATCAAGGCTGTCTGACCGGCCTAGAGGAAAATGAAAAACACTCTTCAATTTCAGTCTCTTCTACCTGGCCTCGAAGGTCAGTCTCACAAATGAGAACTCCCTCCATACAAACCCTGCTAAATATCTGCCAATGTAGTCATGCACAAGAACCAAACCAAAACCAGTTATTGTAATTAGTTGCAGCAAGTCTGACAGTATCTGAGGAGAGAGAAGGAGTTAATGCTTCAGGCTGATGATCTGAACTTGATGATCCTGAAACATTGCTTTCTCCACAGAGTTGCCAGAACTGCTGAGTATTTCCAGAACCTTCCGTTTTGATTTCCATTTTCCAGTGCCTGTGGTATATAGCATACTGAATAGGGTACAGACCCTCTCTGATCACTTATATTTAGGATGCACTGCAGCAACCATTATTCCTTCATCAAAAGCTTCCAAACCTGTGACCCCTACAGCCTACAATTTCCCCTCTAATACACACACCATCCTTGACTTGAAACAATAATGCTGTTCCTTCATTGTCATTAGGCCAAAATACTGGAACTTACAGGACTGCGAATATATGTTACCTCCGTGGTTCAAGAAGGCAGCTCATACGACAGCTCACAGCTCAATTAATACTGGCCCAGCAAAGTGACACCCACATCCCATGAATGAATGAATCAATTAAATAAACAGTTGGACTGCAGCTCAGGCTAAGAGCTATAGAATGGATTTAGAGCCATTTAAATTTACTTACAATACTTTAGGCCACAATTTAATTCATAACTCTACTGTCAGTGTTTAAGGAATAGAAAGTGATTAATTATCAGGTTTTTTAAAGCCTTTACTCCAGTTGAATTTCATTTCTGTCCAATGTCAAAATTCACTCATTAATATTGGACCTGGATCAGTAGGAGTTACACAAAGTTGTGTGGCAGTCTCCAGCTCCTATCCAGATGGGAGTCAAGAAGCTGATAAACTCTGAGTTATACATTCCATCCCTTTGAAGTTCAATCAGAAGCAATGTAAATCATCTGTAACTTTGACAATTGCAGCTGACTGTCACTGATCCATACAATTTAAAACACATGACAGTTTTACTAGCTGGGGGTATATCGATAACCTTTGAAGTTATAATACATAATAAGGAAAAAAACACTTCTTTCTTTCGGAACATAGAACATAGAACATTACAGCGCAGTACAGGCCCTTCGGCCCTCGATGTTGCGCTGACCTGTGAAACCAATCTGAAGCCCATCTAACCTACACTATTTCCATTATCTTCCATATGTTTATCCAATGACCATTTAAATGCCCTTAAAGTTAGCAAGTCTACTACTGTTGCAGGCAGGGCATTCCATGCCCTTACTACTCTCTGAGTAAAGAACCTACGTCTGACATCTGTCCTATATCTATCACCCCTCAATTTAAAGCTATGTCCCCTCGTGCTAGCCATCACCATCCGAGGGAAAAGGCTCTCACTGTCCACCCTATCTAATCCTCTGATCATCTTGTATGTCTCTATTAAGTCACCTCTTAACCTTCTTCTCTCTAACAAAAACAGCCTCAAGTCCCTCAGCCTTTCCTCATAAGACCTTCCCTCCATACCAGGCGACATCCTGGTAAATCTCCTCTGCACCCTTTCCAATGATTCCACATCCTTCCTATAATGCGGCGACCAGAACTGTATGCAATACTCCAAGTGCGGCCGCACCAGAGTTTTGTACAGAACAAGTAAATCAAGATAACACAATATCTTCCTGAAGTTCCTACAGATGTAAAGCAATCACCTTTTTGATAATATAATCCAAAACAACGTAATTTAATTGTTTAGGAGAAAATTACTGCAGATGCTGGAATCGGTACTGAAAAGAACAAATGCTGGAGATCAGAGATAGTGGGAACTGCAGATGCTGGAAAATCTGAGATAACAAGGTGTAGAGCTGGATGAACACAGCAGGCCAAGCAGCATCAGAGGAGCAGGGAAGCTGAAGTTTCGGGCCTAGACCCTTCTTCAGAAATGGGGGAGGGGAAGGGGATTCTGAAATAAATAGGGAGAGAGGGGGAGGCGGATAGAAGATGGATAGAGGAGAAGATAGGTGGAGAGGAGACAGACGGGTCAAAGAGGCGGGGGTGGAGCCAGTAAAGGTGAGTGTAGGTGGGGAGTTAGGGAGGAGATAGGTCAGTCCAGGGAGAACGGATAGGTCAAGGGGGCGGGATGAGGCTACTAGGTAGGAGATGGGGGTGGGGCTTGAGGTGGGAGGAGGGGATAGGTGGGAGGAAGGACAGGTTAGGGAAGCGGGGACAAGCTGGGCTGGTTTTGGGATGCGGTTGGGGGAGGGGAGATTTTGAAGCTTGTGAAGTCCACATTGATACCATTGGGCTGCAGGGTTCCCAAGCGAAATATGAGGTGCTGTTCCTGCAACCTTCGGGTGGCATCGTTGTGGCCCACCTATCCCCTCCTCCCACCTCAAGCCCCACCCCCATCTCCTTCCTACTAGCCTCATCCCGCCCCCTTGACCTGTCCGTCCTCCCTGGACTGATCTATCCCCTCCCTAACTCCCCACCTACACTCACCTTTATTGGCTCCAACCCCGCCTCTTTGACCTGTCTGAACTCCTTTCCAACTATCTTCTCCTTTATCCATCTTCTATCCAGCTCCCCCTCTCTCCCTATTTATTTCAGAATCTCCTTCCCCTCCCCAATTTCTGAAGAAGGGTCTAGGCCCTGCTCCTTTGATGCTGCTTGGCCTGCTGTGTTCATCCAGCTCTACACCTTGTTGTCTCAAATGCTGGAGATCACAAGGGTCAGACAGCATCCATGGAGAGTAAACAAGCTGAAGTCAGCTCTGATGAAGAGTCATCTAGACTCGAAATGTTAGCTTGCTGTCTGACCCACTGTGATCTCCAGCATTTGTTGTTTTCAGTAATTTAGTTGTGTCCTGGTTAGTTGTTTCTGTTTATTTGCTAACTAATTGTATATGTTGTGAAAAATTGTTAGGTGCCTGCACAGAAAATTGTGAATAATATTCTTTGTTATTGAGGGAAAGCAAGTTCGCAAATTACAACTCATAATGATATTGACAATCTATAGACTTGTCTCTGTGTCAGACTATGATTGAATAACTTTGCACATATTGTTTGAGATTTTGTGTGCATCCTGATCAAGGAAATTGATAAACCATCTGGAAATAAGAAAATCCAGGACATCATATTGATCTTTGAAAATTGTTCTCACGTTGGGATCACTGTCAGGAAGGCTGCCATTAATTGTTCAGCTCTGAAAGGGGTTGTCATGAAAGGCTTTTTTACATCACTGCAGGGAGTGTGGTGTAGGTGCTCCTCAGAGCTAGTGGAGCCTGCAGGTTTCTCACTGGAACATCCCTGAACAGGAATAGAAGCAGGTCATCATCTCTTCCAAGGAGTCGTCTATGGGAAGAGGAGAGTGGGTGCTCTCAATATGCTGTAAGGAGGAAATGCTAGGATTTAACCCAGTGATAATGAACAAATCCATCGCTGTGTCATCTCTGCAATTCCAGAACAAAAATCAAGACCGGAAGCGCTGTATGAATTCTATGAATTATTGAGTACTTCAAGTATCATAACATTCAAAGATATGGGACAAGTGCAGGAATTTAGGATTAGTGCACATTTAGTTGTAGTTATCTTGGTGCAGACTCAATGGGCCAAAGGGTCTTTTCTGTGCTGCATGAATCTATGAATCTGTTGGGAGTGTCACTACTACACTTAGTCCTGTGGACTGTGAATGAACTGCTGAGGGCAAATAGTGACTGGGAACTCTTTGTGTATCCAGACTTCTCAGCTTCAGATGGAGAATCACTAACAAGGTTAGACACCAGCTACACAGGCAGATCCTGAGCAACACGCTAAGGAACAAGAATTCAATTGGAAATGGAGATTAAGGAGGATTAGGATCAACTAAGAATGGATTACCTGGGCCTCCCAAAGGGAAGGTCCGATGGCAAAGAATCACGGAAATCTTCTGTTTGAAGTTTCCCAACATTTGATGGTAAGAAAACTCATGAGAATTAGACAACCCCGAGTTAACATGATGGGGGCACAATGAAGCACCCTTACTGGTGCTACAGGATGGAAGGACCAAGCTTTCCAATGGTTTGATTTTATACAAACCACACCGACAGATATCTGTGACCAGTGTTCAAACCTGTGCAGACAAGGCTATGCAATCAGCTTATGTTTGGCCAGCCTTTTCTCAGAAATTACATTTCATATTTAAATCCTGAACAAGTTGGTTTCCAAATAGATCTAGTGGTCATTTATTACTCAAAATTAGGGATCACATGGTAACGGGAGCCTGAGTGTGTGTGGACTACCTGAGCAGCAGGGTGCTGTGCTCAAACATCATGACTACATTCCATTTAACTGTGTGAGAGACTGGGATACTTGTGTGTCTAGATAGCGTACATGTGTACGTGCCTTTCTGTGTACACATGCAGGTTTGCATTTACATCTGAGTGTATATCTAGGTTGGCATGTATCTATCAATTCTACCCATATGGATAGGTTTGAGTGTATAGATTGGTTTGTGGATGTCTGAGTTAGGACTTATTCAGTAGGATTGTGTGCATAATTTATGAAGAGTTGATGCAAAGATTTAAGGAATCAAGAATCTCAGTTCATTATTTATCCAACTCAGTGGTATGCTCCAGTCACAGTTATAGGACAGTAATTTATGAGATGCATTTATTAAAGTGAGAATGGCCTGCATGACTTCACCACTAAGCTTAGATTTCTTTTTAGGAAGGAGCTCTATTTTGCATTTCATGTTAGTTTCACACAGGTGTACCACTGCCTGAGATCGTTTTGCCATAGTTAAATAGGGGTCCGTTCAGTTATTAGACCTTCCTGGTGCCTCAAATATATGTAAATATAGTCTTGCACAAGTAAGAAATGCCTTTGGTTTGTTTGTTGGATAGAGTCAAACTTCAATGTTTGTTTGTTCCTTGACATACTGCTGTACGGAGCCAAACTGCTTCAGTGACTATGTATGTATATAAAGATATTTTTATGAATAAAGTATATTTTCGAAATAAAATAAGATTCATGCAAATATACTTTGTGCCAATGTTAATTTCCGCCACCGGTATTCACCTGACTGGCTTTGGCATTGACGTTTCCCAAACTAAATAATTGCTTCACAACATTCATCTCCGCATCAGTCTCCATTGCAGCCAGTGCAGCGAGCATGATCGCAGTGTAACCTGCCTTGTTCTGCCAGTCAACATTACAGATAGCTGAAAAATATACAAAACAAAACAAGACACCTGATTGGTTGGCTCAGCAAGAAGAAGACTATAGATACTGCAAATTCCACTGGCACTGCAGGAACAAATGTAGGATACAGGAATATCCTTTTGCACATCAGAGTAGACAAACAGGAGGCTGGAAGAACACAGCAAGCTAGGCAGCATCTGGAGGAGGGGAGAAGTCAACATTTCAGGAAGAAGGGTAATACCCAAAACATTGACTTCTCCTTTCCTCCAGATGTTGCCTGGCTTGCTGTGTTCTTCCAGCCTCCTGTTTGTCTACCTTGGATTCCAGCATCTGCAGCTTTTTTGTCTCTGCACATCAGAGTACCCATTGTAGCCAGGAATCATTTTTATTGTGTCTTTAAATCCAGTACCTGAAGCAATAACAACTGCTAGATGCAAATATTGTCCCATTAGAGAAGAGGGAAGATTGCTTCAAGTTAAGTAAGCTACTCACTCATCAGCTATTACATTCTGTGCTAACCTTTCAGTCTCTTCCAAAAACACACACACAAACCTTTTTATTTCTTTCCCAATTTATTGATCTTTCAATAACATTATACCATTCAGGAGAGAGATATTTTGGGAACTATTTTAGATGGCAGCTAGGAACAACCCCACCACACCTCCTGCAGCCCATTTTAACCCACACATGCCCATGCTATACACACTGGCACTAAACCCACACCTGCATTACACCCCATTTACCTGCCGCCAACACATAACCCCGCATTCACCTACCCACATCCACATCCACCATTCAGACCTGGCCTGGTGCATTAAACCCCATCTACCAGCCCCCACCCAAAAACCCTGCATACACCTACCCACATCACCACATTTCCCATTCACCTGCCCTCACCCACATACACCCATCCACTTGCCCTCACCCTCACTCTCACCCCTGTCCCTGTGCTTCTCCCTCATGCTTTCATTAGTGAACACCAGGCACTGAGCTCACCTGTGTCCAGCAACAGCTTGACAATCTGGAAGTTGGAGTGAGAGACACAGTAGTGCAGGGCTGTGTTGCCATTTCCATCGGACAGGTTGACAACATGTTTCAGGATAGCTGGTGACATCTCTGCAAAGGCCATGAGATAGTCAGCTACGACTTGGGGTGAGGCTGACTTCTGACTGGAGACTCTGAACCACTCCTGCTGGATTGCATTCAAACTCGACATCTGCAAACACACAAGAGTATCCAGGATTGCAGCTTTTGCCTTTCAGCCCACCATACTGCCAACTGCTCCTCCCACCCAGAGCCTAAGGCCCAGAGCTGGGAACTGGAGCCAGCTGGCCACACGTTGCTACATCATTCCCAAACGAACCCACCCTGAATATCAACTGCTATCAGATCGAGTCTGTGTCAGCCCAGAGCAGCTAACAACCGGAAAATAAACATCTTGGATTAATCTTCACTTGAGATTTTAGTTGCTGGAAAATACGAAAGGAACATTAATAGCAAGGGGGATGTAGATTTGACTCTGGGAGTTGTTAAAATTGACACAAGTGTTTGGTGTCTGGAAGCAATTATCAATGCACTAAGGCTTAATGTTAGTGCAACCCCCTCATAAACTGCTGATCATATTTAAATGAGACAATTTCAATGAGATTTTCATTGGAGCATCCCAGAATTCTTGAACATTGCCATTGAAACAGGGCAAAGAGCAAACGACAACTCAAGGGACTCAGGAAAACTCAGGCATACAGATAGTGCACACAATCTTCCTAGCCACTCCCATACCTCCACTGCATAGCTGCCTTAAATTGGACATAGGATATATGTTGAAATCACACATTCCAACATGCGAAAAATCTTTCCTGTGAGTTTCAAACCCACATTCGCCCACATGCCTGCCCAGATCTTGTCTCTGGATTATCATCAGGAATAATACCTCTGGGAGCACAGCAAAGAGCAGCTCGTGATGGAGATTGAGCTGGACTTCAGTCTCTGGAGTTGAGCTTTCCGATAATGTGTTACAAGCAAATGCCTGTGGCTGGGACAAGTGCCAGTTCCAAGAAAAAGACAGGAAACTGCATCTGCCCTTCATCTGAGATACTAAATAAAGACAGACAGAGAGCGAGAAGTCCTCCAAAATGTCAGGTGCAGTAATATGGAAATACTTATATTTCCATAGCACTTTTGAGATGCAGTATCAAAAATGTTGAAACTTAGAAACATACAAGCCATGTTCACACAGCAAGATCTCACAGATGCCAAATGAGATAATGGTCAGATAATCTGTTTCAGCAACACATTTGGAAGGATAAGGACCAAGGCACCTGGGAGAGCTCCCTGGCTCTTAAACATAATGCATCCATCCTTGTACATCCATCTTAATGTCTTATCTGATATGTAATGTCTCCAAGTACAACATTCCCTCAGGTTTCTTTCTTTATTCTTGTATGGATGTGGGCATTGCTGGAAAGCCAGCTTTCATGCCCATCCCTAATTGCCCTTGAACTGAATGACTTGCTGGACCATTGCAGAGAACAGTTAATAGTCAACCACATTGCTATGGGTCTGAAGTCACATGGAAGCTGGAAGGATGGCAGATTTCCTTCCCTAGAGGTCATATTTGAGACAAGAATTAGTGATGGGTTCACAGTCAACATTACAAAGACTACCTCTTAAATCTAGAATTTTAAAAAAAATCACTTCCACCAGTTACCATAGTGGGACTTGAACCAGAGTATTACCCTGTCTTGCAAATCCAGCAACATCACCACCATCTGCTCATCAGCTGCTCCAGCTCATGTGATCTCTCCCAGAGTTATCACCCTGGAACAAAAACAAAGTTGCTGGAAAAGCTCAGCAGGTCTGGCAGCATCTGTGGAGGAGAAAACAGAGTTAACGTTTCGGGTCCAGCGACCCTTCCTCAGAACTGATGGTGGCTGGGAAAACGTCAGTTTATATGCAGAAAATAGGGAGGTGAGTGGGATAGGGGGTAAACGATAGGATAGAGCCCAAAGAGAGAGAAAGACAGTTGGACAGACAAAGGAGTTGCTAACGATCAGGCTGGGAGAGTGAATAGTTGTTAATGGGGACTGTTAGTGACTAACAACAGGGGGTGTGTAATGGCAGGCTATGTGGTAACAAGGCCTGGTGTGTGGGGTGGGGGGCTGGGACATGGGAGAGTTTAGGCCCTAAAATTATTGAACTCAATATTGAGTCCGGAGGGCTGTAGGGTCCCCAAGCGGAAAATGAGGTGTTGTTCCTCCAGCTTGCGTTGGGATTCACTGGAACACTGTAGCAAGCCAGAGACAGAGATGTTGGCCAGGGAGCAGGGTGGTGCATTGAAGTGGCAGGCAACAGGTAGTTCAGGGTCTTTTTTGCGAGCAGAACGTAGATGTTCTG